ATTTCGACCCCATTATGAGCTTTTTCGCGAAAAAAAGATTTTGAAAAATTTTTTGGAAATTTTTTTAAAAAATAATTTTTTTTGCAAATTTTCAAAGTAAAATATCTCTTCTCGGTAAAGAGAAAATACGTTTCTTTTATCGAGATCTACCAGCCCTGAAAATATTTGCACTTATTTAAGACTCACCCTGCATATTATTGAGATGAAATATTAATCTAAATATTAAATTAAATAATTTTGGCTTCGTAAACTTTAATAAAAATGATCTAATTTTTTAATGAATATTTGCCGTAAAAAAAACAATAAACAAATAAATATAATATTCATATATCAATACAATATTTATAGAAACTTCTATTTTTGTCGTAAAAATTTCATATGAACTTTATTTAATTAAATGGTGAATAGACTAAACGAACATAAATCCATTATATCTTTGCTTGATCTTTTTTAGTCTTTGAAAAAGACTTTGTTAGCTCAGTTTATCAAAACAAACTTAGTAAACTTCAATACGCATAACCCTACCTTCTAAATACATTATTTTGTTTTCAATTTCCGCAGTTGGAAAACAAACTTTGTTTTTCAGTCTTTAAAATCCCCGATTTTTTAATAATTAAATAAATATTTTTCTTATTCTGAAGCAAAATAATATATGTATATACATCGCATCTGCGTTCTGCTTCTAATAATAATACCGTATGATCAAAAACAATGGCGTCCAGTTGGCTGGGAAATGAAGATCGCTGTCATTTTAAATGTAAATTTATATGGGAAATGTCATCGATCGTCAATTCCCAGCCAATTGGACGCCGTTTTTTCTCGATCATACGGTATAACGTTTTATCACAACTTATTCAAAATCCTTTTATTTGAGTTATTTTATTTAAAAAATAATTGGCTGTGTACAAAACAAAGGTTTCCGTTAAACAAAACACCACTTAAAAAAATATAAAAAAGAACTATTTCTTACTTTCAAACTTCAAGAAACTTCCTGAATTTATTATTGCCTATTTATTTATCAATGTAACTTATTAAGTAAAAGTTTTAATATTGCACAGGAATAAAATTCCTCGATTTTTCCTCCACTTGATTTAAAAAGACACAAAACACACGTAATAACACGAATCAAAATGCATAATCTTCCAAAACGCAGATATTTGACATAAGTTGACACAAAATTATAACCTATAATTTGGCAAGACTTTGACAAGCCTCAAAAATCGGCGAGTTCATACGCATCGGCGCCCGTTTGTCGTTCATCGTTCCGTCAAACCAATAAAATTGAATATGATCTGTCACTTTTGAAATAAACCTATAAAACTGGTTAAAAACAACAAGAGACGACGCATGACGGATTTATATTTAAACCCATCCATAGTTAACTTAAACAATATTAGAAACTTTTTTTAGTAAAATAAATAGATTGGTATGAGACGTCATCTGCTTTTCTTCTGTCATCGTCTGTCGAAATCTTACCTGAGAAAAAAAAACAGAGTATAATTTATTTTTAGTCATATTTTTTATTATATGGAAATGCTATTTTAATCAGTTTCTGGATATGTTAGGATATAATTTTATTCTTCAATAACATATTTAAAGTCCATGTGAAAAAGATAAAAAGAGATAAATCATAAAAGACATCCGTTAGACATGGTGATTCTTATTTAAGCAATTATGCAGGGTAGTACTTATCAAAATAAATTGACCTTAAATGTCAAAGTTTCATACATAGTACGTTTTATGGTACAGTACATATCATTCACTAGTTCCAATCTTTACATTAGAGAGTATCATACGGATATGGAATATATCTGCAGACAGCGATATTATCAACTAAATGTTATCATATTTAAGATAAAATTTACATGGGGTAATGGAAATATAATGTTAAAAATACATATATCCTTAATTTGTGACACAATCTAGTCATTATCCTGAGTATCGCCTTGACACATTTTGAGAATAAATACTTCATTTTGAATTAACGGTTTAAAAATAAATTTTATTTTTTGTATCACAGTGAAGCAGATATTAACTTAACAGCAACGCATAAAAAGAATTAGAATTTCTCATCGTATAATAAATAGTATAGAAATAGTATAGTATGTCAATTTTTCAGTGACACAAGGTGGTAGAATGTAGAATGAGTAAGAGGGGGGCTTAATCACTACGACCTTAAAGATCCATTGTGTGCCCCCCTTCCTTGAGTCATCACACAGTCTATAACCCATCATACCCCTGTTGTAGAGGGGACAGGGTCTTTCCCATCCTCCTCTGACAACAGTTCTTCCTCCGAGGGTACACACCCTTCCATGGTTGGAGTTTGGCCCTCCGTGCCGCCCTTCACAGTCGAGGAGCTTGCCTCCGGCTGAGGAACCCGTGAGGTGGAGGCTGGAGGATCTGTCTCCATTTTCTCCACCTCTTTAACTTGGTCTCTCCTTAGACCTGATACCGGTTTTGTCCCCTATCTATAATAGAGGATATGGCCCTCTTTCTCTATTGCCTCCTTGGATTTGAGGTCAATTCCTATTATGAGGACCTGACCATGACCCTCCTCCCTCGAGTTGATGACTCGCCAACTCGATGTCCTTACATTGAAGTTCTGACCCTGGATAAGGTTCAGAAGGTAGGTTGTGTCTTTCCCGTTGCTCCTCGGCAGAAAGACCGTGATGTGTGACATGTGTCTATTTTGAAAGAAATAAATATTTTTAAATTTCTCCGAAAATTTTGTAGCCAGTCCAACAACTCAGGGAAGATCAGATTATCAGATTGTATTTTTAAATATCTTTTAATAATATATTTGTAAAAATATAAGTTAATCAATTAAACATTAATCCCTCATTTACTCCCAATTTATTTACTATCGATTTATAGGATTACAAGATTATCAGAAAATATTTATATTTTTAAGATTTTAACAGATTTTTCTAATATATTTTGAATTATCATTCAGTCTATTTTTATTTTTATTTATTATTGTTTTATACCTACAAGAACACGTTTATTAATGCTTTTGAACTCAAATTGCCTTCGCCATTTTTCTGTCAACAATAACATTGCACTACGTAATTAGTTTGGGAAAACATATTGTCACTAATATGATTCTCATGGCCAACGTTAATAATACGTATTAATTTTAAAAACAAATTAATGATTTCAAATAAACATTGCTTTAAATATCCCCGTTTATAAATATTTCTAAAATTCGGCTATTCACTTTTAGCTTTTAGTTAACTTGTAATTAATGTTAGTATGTACAGGGTGGGTCAAATTGGACGCTTTTAAGGGGAGACCCTTTTCTATAGGAGATAGACGAAAACCAATATCGGTGTCTGGAACTCAATTTCTATCAAAAACATGATGATGAAAACCGCACATCGATATCTGTTACCGTTTCGGAGTTACGGGATGTTTTTCAAAAATGTGCATTTTTGATAAATCGCTGTAACTTTTTTGCTATGGTATTTGTATTTTAATGAAAACATTTCCAAAGCACATTCTTACGTAGAATCTAATGGTTTAAGTATCATTTTTTTAAAATTAATAATTTAAGAGTTATCAACAGAAAAATTGTTTTTTTTTATTTGGGAGACCATGTATATTTTTAATTCATTAGAAAAAAATTAATAAATAATTACCTTTCCAAATACAGGGTGGTCCGAATTGAATTCCGGAAACTTCGGCAACATATTCTGCAGATAAAAATAAGTAAAAAAGTTCTTATAAATGTACGTCCTAAAATGCTTAGTTTCGGAGATACAGGGTGTAGAAATTTATTTCGATTTTTTTCAAATAATTTCTGAAGTAACGTCAATATTTAGATGAAATTTGGTGTCTGGGAGTTTTTTGATATGAGAAATTTGATTTTGATGTCAATATTACTCCTAATTGCAGAGGGCGCCATCTACATATTTTTAACTGGTTTGAAGAGTAATAACTTTTCGTTCGTACCTGTATAAAACTTCTAAGTAAAAAAATATACATTTAGGACGTTTTTAAGGCAAAAAAGGTCTCTTAATAAAAATCGCTACGAGTAATAATTCTTGAGATATTTTAAATCGAAATTATCAATACCTGTCATCGTTACAAAAATTAAACATGTTGAATAAATAGTTAAAAGACTGAAATCATAAATTTGAAATGTTTTTATGCCAAATCATCACCAATCATCATTTTTTCGAAGAAAATTTCATGATTAATTTAAAAAAATAAAAATTTCCCAAATTTATCATTTCAGTCAAATAACTATCTACTCAACTTGTTTATTTTTTGTCAATAATGACATGTATTGACTATTTCCATTCTAAATATCTCGAGAAGGGTTGCCCGTAACAATTTTTACCAAGAGACATTTTTTACGTAGAAAATTACGAAAATGTATATTTTTTCACTCAGTAGTTATATACGGGTACGGACAAAAAGTTATCACTCTTCAAAACAGTTAAAACACATGTAGGTGGCGCCCTCTACAAAAAGGAGTCATAATGACATCAAAATCAAATTTCTCCTGTCAAAAAACTACCAGACACCAATTTTCATCCGAATATTGACGTTACTTCAGAAATTATTTGGAAAAAATCGAAATAAAAATGAAACTTCAACACCCTGTATCTCCGAAACTAAGCATTTTAGGACAGACATTTATAAGAACTTTTTTGCTTCTATTTATTTGCAGAATATGCTACCGAAGTTTCCGGAATACAGTTCGGACCACCCTGTATATAGCATACTTGATATTTTACTCGATTCCTCTTCGAGGTATAGACTTTTTAAAAATTCGCGCACTTTGAATAAGTAGGCTTTGAACGGCGCCGGCTGTAATGCAAAAAAATTCTAGCTGTAAGCAGCAATTAAAACGAAAATATATAATTTAAACTATATTTAACAACATGAACACATTTATATCTAATAACAATAAAAATTAATAACAAACCAAGACATGAGATTTTGTTATAGGTGTTTAACATTTTTACTTATTTTATTTTTTATTTATTTTCCAGTGGAGGTCTTTCGAATTTACTTTACCATGTGTCCCTTCCATCCGATTTGTATAACACCTATGACGAAAAGAAAAAACATCACATAGAAGAACCAAAGGAAGTCTTGATCCGCATCTATGGCCAGACCCACGGAGAGGGAGCCTTAGAAGCCTTAATTACTGAAAGTGTCATATTTACACTTTTAAGTGAACGAGGTAAGTAAATTACTTTGAGAGAAAAGACATACGCACTCAATTAAGCCCTGTTTACACATAACGATTTACCGTACGTTTTACTTGTTATTTAAACCGTAAGACCGCCTAGAGAAGTGACTGCAGTTCTCTGACTGACGATCTTCTGTTTTAACTCTTTGCGGACCGAATAGATTTCCGTGAACTAGTCTTTTAATTAGTTCCTTTCGGCCTTTTTGGTCCAGAATCGATAACATATACGGCTGGCCTATCCCATTCCCGTCTAGCATAGGTCTACAATCGCCCTGGCCGATCCGTTGCTGTCGCATGTTATATCTGGGTCGCAGTCTCGGTTCTCGGAATAGGTCCTGAGGAACTAATCTTTTAAGAAACCGGGATCTAGTTCCTTTCGTTCCGGGGTTGGAATAGTTCATTGAAACTAGTTCGTTCACGAACTACACACCTCTAAGTTGTACCGACGGTTTTAGATCAGTTTTTGGTAAGGACCATAAAGGAAGCACTACTTTGATGAATTGTAGTATTGTGTTCAGTGAAGTTGAAAAATAAATGAAATTTTTATACAAAATTTGAATTAATGATTTACATTTCAGTTGGAAACACCCAAAGATATTTAAACTCGGGAGTGTAAAACTGAATAATCTAAATAAATAAATAAAATGCCTTTATTGTCAAAAAATTTTACAATTTGTAGACAAAGGTAAAGTAAACAGACAAAAGGGAATACAAAACAAGTATACAAATTACATTGTCAGTCTTCATTTATAAATGTTTACAATGTCAAAGAATAAAAAAATAAAAATAAGATTCAAAAATATTTAGTAAGTTTATAGTAAATATAGTAATAGCTGTGGTAATAGCAAATATTAGACCAGTGTTTACAAGATCAAATTCGATCAAAATATAAGTCATTTACGGCGTAGAAAGCCTTGTCTAGTAAATAAGATTTCAATGCTTTGCGAAATGAAGAAAATTATGTTATGGATTTGATTTCAAATGGCAGGTGATTGTGCATTTTTTTTGAGTTGTATAATATTAAACTTTTAACTAACTCTGAGCGTGGGGTAGGTAGATAAAGATCTTGCTCAGGAACGCGGAGCAAGATCCGCGTTTGTAATTGTTGTAATTTGTATACTGAGAGGATAAGTCTGAGATGGCCTTTCTTGAGAAGCTGATACATGCTTACGTATTAGGCAAACGGATTCAAATATAAATAAGGAAGAAAGAGTTAATATTTTTAATTTTTTAAAAAAGTACTGGCAATGAGTTCTGCTGTTTAATCCCAGTGAATATCGAACAGCTCTCTTCTGGAGCTTGGAAATGCGGTCAAATTGAGTCGCACAACAGGTACCCTAAAATGGAAGGGCATATCTGAGGTGCGATTCAAAAAGTGCATAATAAACAGTTCTAGCCACTGACAAGTTAAGCTCCTTAGAAACAGATCTTAATGCAAAACAGGCAGAGCTCAATATCAAGTCAATTCAATTCAATATCTAGTCAATTCTCTACACGGTCTTCTGTCTTAACAAAGTTCAACGTTCATTTTTTGCGTCTACACACAATATACTTCATAAGTTTTGCCTGAACAGGTAGGACGTAAAGTAAACGTTCTAGGTAGACGGAGCCTTTATATTTTGACAGTAGATAAAACATTTATCTCCGGATGGAAGGTAGACAAATTAAATTAATCAATAACCACACTGCTAATACTTTAATTGTTATTATAAAAGGATCATGTTATTTGCGGATTAGAATCCAGTAATTTTGAATTAAATCAATATTATTTTATTCCTCTAAAATTATATCTAATATCTTTAAATTTATTGATAAAACTTCAAACAAAAAATCTGGAAAAGATTTATTTCATGATATACGTACGTATGTTTATAAAGGCACATGATTAATTAACCCATTAATGAATTTTGATTTAAACTCTGCTTTAGTAGGCGAGAGTTTATGTAATTTTGTTTGAAAAAGATACATCATGGTTATTTTTACATGAAAAAGTAAACTTTACTGTCAAATATACCTTAAAAAAGTTATCAGATATAATTACTGCATAAAAAAGTAATTCATTTTGACTATGATCAAAATAAAATAAAAATACGATCAACGCAAGACTTGAGAGTTTTCAACAACTTAATTAAAAAGATAATGTTGATGACATTAGGAAGCCTTCAAATTATTTTCTTTCATTTTAATGAACCTTCAAGGGTTTCAAAAGAAACCTTTTTTGTTAAATTAGTTACACGCTTTTTCGCCTAGCATCGCGCATATAAAGACATAGCAAACAAGACTTAATATATTTTTGATTTAAAAACTGATTGAAAATTGGGATAAACAAATTATATTAGAATCCGATCAAAAATACTTAAAAGTTCTCCCCTCAGAATATGTGGTCAAATATCAATAATTAAACAATTTCAAAATATGTATTGAAATACTTTTTTAATAGATACGTCCTTATACGTATATTTTTTTATATTAAAGACCAATGTAAATTTTACATTTGCAACAGTTTGCAGAATATTAAAAATTATTTTTTCCATAACAACTGTTAAAATTGCCTTATATCTATCAAAAATAGTAGATAAAATAGTACTTTAACCGCAAGGGTAGATTAAATGATACTTTAACAGCGAGGATAGGTTAAAAACTTTATTTCTTCTCGCACGTTTTTTAATTGCTTCCATTTTTGAAAATTTTTGTATTCCTTTTCATAAGTTGTTCGGGATTTAAATGGAAGTAGTTTGGATATGGCGTTTGTCGCCTCAGCCTGAATATCTGTTGGTAATTTACTTATTTCATTTTGAGCCATTTCTGGCTCCAATTCGATCAGCAATCGACACGAAAGATAATTAAAAAATATTGACTCAAAACTGACAACTAAAGAGACAGCTTTATTTAATTGTCAAATTACATAGAAACCAACGCCAACCCAGCACAATATTTTTTCTACTCGTAATAAATTCCTTGAAATAATAATTTCTGAAAATTTTTTTAAAACGTAACTCGCTATCTAAAAAAATATTATTTTAAACACAACGATAAAATTGCATTATCGTCTCCCGAAATTAATTCACTGGAGATTTCATCGCTCGTGAATTAATTTTTTCGGTCGACGATAAAATACCATTTTATCGTCTTGTATATAAAATAACTATTAATATGTTAAAACATTAATTGATTTTTATATTCGTTTTATTTTCTGTTTTTGCTTCTAGCGATGATGGTATACTGATCTGGTCATCGAAAGTGCGTGGTCTGGATTTTGAAGTGTAAGACAGTGATGTAGACAGAATGACAAATCAAATGTATTAAAAAGAGACAAAATTTTGGGTTGATACATTTCTTCTATGCCGGATTTTGCAACAAAATTTCAAACCGCACAAGTAGGCGTGTACGAAAAATGTTGCATCCAGGGTTGAAACTTAATTTTTCACAATTAGTTACTCATTTTTCTACCGCTGTAAACTGTAATAAATTATATTTACCTTAGATATACCTCTATTATCCTAATTTCAGTATTATACTTGAAAGTTTTTAAAATAGTTTATTTTTTTCTACCACATTTTTCTACATACGTAAAAACCGGCAATACTGTATGACGGTTTTTATTTTGTCTCTCTGTCTGTCCACCGCTTATTTATATTTATCTCTGTCGCATGCATTAAAATACAGACCATGCAGATGAAATGTCCAGGATGGTATACATGTTTCTCAAAATTTCCTGTTAAATTTATTTATTGTTTAGTTACTTCTTGTTTTCAAGTAAGAGTTATTTGAAAATTTGTTTTCGTAGTTTTACACGTGTTTTTTTATTTATTTGAATGAAAATAAGATAATAATGAAATAATTTGTTGGAGTAACTTGTTCTGAAGGAATTAATTCTCCAGTAAACATCTATTTTTGAACGGCCCTTGTATAAAACATAGGATTGTCAACGTATCGACATCACGCTAGTGATATAAACAAATGCTAGGTCATTAATGCATTATACGTCATTTATTTCAGTTTAAGTACATAAATATGTTTAATTAATTAGTCTTTTGGTGTTTACAAAACCGTTTGGTTTTAAAATAGAATAAAGTCTATTGTGTTTTATTATCAGTTTTGGGTCTATTTTGGTATATACGTGTCTGGTACGAAGACACTCGCAGCTGTAAACAGTTATTGTTTTTCTTAGTAATAATATGTGTACATAAGATCTTAATATAAAATATGCATATATTTTGCAATGTGTATTTTTTGTTTTTATTTTTTGAATTATTACTTATTCCTGAAAAAAAAAATGTTTTCAATTTTAGTTTTATAATTTTGTTGTTTTTGCCAATCGTTATTTAAATACAGATAGTTTCAGAATTTTATGTAGTCTATTTATATAGTCATATTATTTTTATCACAAAATTTATACCACTTTTTAAAATTTTGAAGAAATAGTGACATTAATTTCTCTAAATTTCTCAAAAAAAACTCACTAAAGTCTTTTCTTAAAAGACTTAAATCTTTTTTTATTTCGGAATAAATATTTAAATCACAAATTATTTGGAAAATGACTAAAATTTTAAGTCGTTCGAAAAATCAAATGACTTAAGTCATTAAAATGATTTAAATCAATCAAAAAAAGGACTTAAGTTTTCTGTGAGCTTACAGTTCTGTGTATAATTAAGTTTTTCTGCTTAAGTTTATTAGGGTTCCGTACCCAAAGGGTAAAAACGGGAACCCTATTACTAAGACTTCGCTGTCCGTCCGTCCGTCCGTCCGTCTGTCACAAAGCTCTATCTTATGAACCGTTATAGCTAGACAGTTGAAATTTTTACAGATAATGTATCTATGTTGCCTCTATAAGTACAAATACTAAAAACAGAATTAAATAAATGTTTATAAATAAAAAGTACTTTCACTAAACATTATCTTTTAAGTAAGAATTTTACATAGAATCTCTCAAGTCCTCGGTGGCCGCGTGGTTAAAGCGTTAGGACTTTACGCTGCTATGACGTTCGAGCCGTAGAAAGGCAGGTTCGAATCCTAGCCAAGGCGACTTTTTTTAATCGTTTTTTTTTTAATTTTTTACATATTTTTACATATTTATTTTTACTTTTTACATATTTATTATTGATTAATACAATTTTTACTAATGTGTTTCTTATTTTTTTTTTAATTACTTATACGCGCATTCAAAATTTCAGCTAAATCGGAAAAAAAGTTTATAATAATATAGTGTCTAATGTTGTATAGATAATGAATGGTACGGAACGCTTCGTGCGCGAGTCCGACTCGCACTTGACCAATTTTTTATCTTATATTGGCTATTTTTTATAGGATTGGGTCCGAAATTACATGGCATATTTCCTGGTGGTAGGATCGAACAGTACATCAATGCTCGTCCACTGCTCAATAAAGAATTGGCGGATGAAAGACTATCCACTATGATTGCTCAAAAGATGGCCAGCTTGCACTCAATGGAGGTAGGTAACATTTCGTTTTCGAATCATCATAGTTACATTATTTGTTTCAGGGACGAAGATTAAATTATTTATCGGATTAGGTAACTTTTTTGTTTTTATTTTGTCGTATTTACTACGAATGTTTAGTTAGTATTTTTCAATCGGTAGTTTGAAAATAATGTAACTATTTTTGAAGACATGCCATCAATGGAAGTGGTTTTCTTGCTTTAGTAATTCTGTTGGGATTTATAATGTACAGGGTGTAAACGAAGTGACGCGAATTTTTTAATGTTAATTAATTTAATGCTAATTAATGCCACCGAAAATCAGGTTGATTATTCGAAAACGGAAAGATGTAGAAACAAACATTTATATGGATATACAGGGTGTCCCACTTTAGATGGATACAATCCAATACCTTGATTGTTTGTTGAGCGATCTTTTTCATTTTTGGCAGGAGGCTGTATGGCTATAAGACGTACATTTTGCCCAGGGTAAGAAATGCGATACCTCATAGACGTACGTTTTAATGGGGTTTGATATTTTTCGAGTCAAGAGTAAACTACCCTTAGGACAGTTTATTTTAAATCTGATAAATATGTATTGAATCCTCCTTACTTAAGATACTTAAAGTCCTAATTTTTATAAATATTGATACAGGGTGTGTCATTAAAATAAGACATTTTATTTTTATTAATATTTTTTTAAGTACTTAAGACGCCACTGGATAAACAACTGGTTTACTATCAATAACCAATTATATCCAATTATCAATTACTAATCGATTTAAGTTTGGTCGAAGATGTTGACTTTTAGTTCGTTATAAAAAGTTAATTGATATAAATCTTTGTTTAGCGCATATTTTTCAAAGTTAATAGTGATTGTTTTAGATAACTATTTGGTTTGTTTAAAATATATTCCTCAATAAAACGAATAAAAATCATATTTCAGATTCCATTGAAAACTGGGTTTTTAAATTATTTCGTAACTCATTTTATTCATTTGTATTAGCAAACTTAAAAAACAATTTTTTAAAGTAAACAAAATAAATTGAAAATATTTAGTTTTTTTGTATCGTATCTTAATTATTATGGAAGCTATCTGAAAACTTAAATCGATTATTAATTGATAATTGGTTATTGATAATAAACCAGTTGTTTATCCAGTGGCGTCGTAAGTACTTAAACAAATAATAATAAAAATGTCTTATTTTAATAACACACCCTGTATCAATATTTTTCAAAATTAGAACTTAAGTATCTTGGGTAAGGAGGATTCAATATAATTTATCAGATTTGAAATAAATACTGTCCTAAAGGTAGTTTACTCTTAACTCGAAAAATATCAAACCCCATTAAAACGTACGTCTATGAGGTATCGCATTTCTTACCCTGGGCAAAATGTACATCTTATAGCTATACAGTCTCCTCCCAAAAATGAAAAAGATCGCTCAACAAACAACCAAGATATTGGCTTGTATCCATCTTAAGTGGGACACCCTGTATGTGTGGAGGCAATATGCAGAATTTAAAATTATTTTGAAATGTACAGGGTGTTTAAAAACTAAGACCCATACCAAAGTTATATTTTTCTTATGGAACACACCTGGTATTTCATTTGATTTTTGGATTTTTGAACCTAAAAATGGCATTTATTATAAGGGTTAAATCTATTTAAAAACCTTGGGTTTTGAGATATTTAAAGATATTTAAAAGTTGTGTTTGTTTTGTAAAAAAAACACCCTGTACATTACTTTTCAGAATTCATTCTTGTGCTGAGTTTAAAAGTAGAGAAATAAACTTTAGTGAAAAATTGTATTGCTTCTTTAAATGTATACAGGGGTACCAAAAATTGTAGATCTTTTTTTAATATTTATTCTACATAAAAACTTCGTTATTTCAAATGCACCCTCTATTTTTAAAATACATAGAAGCAGATTTAAATGCTCTTTAAAACTATATTAAGTTTACTTTTTGTCTGGCTCAGGTTTTAAATAAAGCGCGATCTTTCAATAAAATGGCAACCAAGAAGGCTGATGTCATGGCAGAAAAGGGACATAGACTTTTTTAAACAAATATGTTAAATTTACGTTTTAAAAATCCGATGTTTACTCTAAAATATACTATTTGTCAGATAATATGTTGCTCAATAACAATATTTTTAGAAATTGTTTGTGTTCGTGTTACATTATAAATATAAATTTAGTAATTAGGACAGTGGAATATTTGTTCGTGATTAACTGTTGCTTTTTTAATAGTTAATGGATATTTAAGGATATTTATTGGAATTCTTGTTTATGTTTTTGTCTTCAAACAGCCTTAAATATTAATTATTGTTTTCTAGTCTCGCATCAGTGAATATGCGTTTTATTTCTTGAAATAATCATAGAATTTTTTCTATGATTATTTCAAGGCATAAGCCATTCTATTATATGTATATTTGTGTAACCCGAACCAATTTTGTTAGTTTTTCTATAACGCTAACATACCAAAACTAATTATTTAAGTCTATATAAAAAGAGATCAAATATCAAACTATTAAACCTATAAATGTATAAACAAATAAAATCTTTTAGATTATATTTATTTTGGTATATGATAATCCGCTATAGTTTGTTTAGTATGAAAAATCCGCAGTGGTCATGTTAAGACTATGCTAATAGAAATTTCACACTTCCTGGTAGTGTGCTAATAAAAATGTTTTTCTAGTTATCGATTTTACCTATACTTGTTAGTTTCTTATAATATAAATAAGGTATACTAGTGCCAAATACGGTACTAATAATTGATATATTTTAGGGTTTGCCGTAAGTGGGAAAATTGTTATTCTTGAGTTGTTGAAAAAAATTTATGCGGAATTACTTCAGCATGTCCAATAATAAAAGTCATATTGATATGTGTCCTACGGCAACTATCGGCGACAAATTACAAAAAATATTCTTTAAATTGGCAAAAAATGACGTTAAACGTTAAGTGACAATATATAAAAAAGGTCAATGTTAAAAGTTACAGAAGTTGATTTTACATCCATGTGCCTATGCAATGTTAAATATACAGGGAGGGATATTCTTCAGAAATTTTATAAAAATAGTATTTATTCGCTAAAATTACACAAAACAATGCAAATCTAACGAGAATAATTTCTAGTGATGGGAAAAAACGATTAATTTCAATAATCGAGTACTCGAGTTTCAAGCGATTGCAATAACCGAGTGATCGCTCGAGCAAAATATCACTCGTATTTAAAAATACGGTTTTTCACCCGTCGCGCGTCGCTTGTTGTAAGTACTCGTTAACGCCAAGCGCCAAGCAGTAAGTTGCATGCGCAGTGATGAATGGCAAGTAGCAAGCGGTGAGCGATTCGCTTGATTTAGTTCAGTTTATTTCAATGCATTGTCGATGTAGTTCGTAAAATTTTGTCCCTCAGACGGGCCCGCGGCGTCGTCGTATAAATTTGCTACCTGCAATGGATGTAGAAAATTCGCTCGGCTTTTTATCGAGTATGTCACATTAAAATCGGATTTAAATTTATTTCATTCTAGGATCGCTTGCGTTTGTCGCTCGTTTAACTCGTCACTTGCATCTCTCGTTCATAATCGAACGATGTCGGTTATTTCAATAATCGAGTACTGGAGCGATTTTTCGCTCGAGTTATCCCATCACTAATAATTTCTAATACAGTATTATTTATTTGCAGTCCAATAATTAAACATAAACATAAAAAATGTCAATTTTTAAGATTACCACACTTATTGACTCATAACCCTACTTTTTGGTTTTAAAGAGGATTTATTTTTTACTGCCTTGACAGTGAAGTGTCGAATTTTTTATTGGCTATGCTGAAGTAATTCCGTATAAACTTTTATATAACAATGCAATATAAGAAAAATCCTATGTGTTGCGAACTTTATGAGACACCCTGTAGACATATTTTTTTAAAAGTACTTCCACAATTTTTGATGCTTTCTATACAGGGTGAGTCTTAAATAAGTGCTAATAAGGTTTTTTCCGCAAAAAAAAGATGTTGAAAATCGTGTATTTTCTTTTAAATTTTCCTGTATATTTTTCGAAAACTTTTTGAAACTGCATGTTCACCGTAAATTTTCCCAGGGTATAATTTCTTAATCTCTGATATTACCATAGTTACTGCTTTACTCTATAGTTACGGCACTAAAAGGGATGCAAATTCTTCTGTATTAGCATCCCTTTTTGGTCTTTAAAATCCGGTGCCTCTCAAATTTTTTTTTAATTTTCAAACTTAAATAACTTGGTTATTTTGGAGTTATCTGAAAAATGGTAAAGAGAAAATATGTTTCTTTTATCGAGATCTACCAGTCCTGGAAATATTTGCACTTATTTAAGACTCACCCTGTATATTAACCTTTCGGTCCGTATAAGATTTAGCAGGTTTTTTATATATTGTTTTTTTTATCTAAGAGTGGATCTCGTATTGAAGGGACCTCTCACTGCGGCGCAAGTGCCACTTGTAATGTGCCATTATATTAAGAATCACAAATAAATATTATAAAAAATTATGTTTTAAATACGATAAGTAATAATTCGTTTCGATATTAAAAAGATACCTACTTCAAAGTTTTAAATATTCACCTATGTACCTGATGATCAAAAATTCCGATGATCAAACATCTATTATACAAGCCACAAAATTGAATGATTGTCGTTGTGGAAGAGGTAACAAATTTATTAATGTCAATAGCAGAAAACCACATATCCATTAGTTGGGCAGTGTAGAGTATAGTTGTTTTGTAATCATCTATCACACATATGGGGTTGTTGTTATTATTTGTTCTAGCAAGTGCGCTTGTTCCTCACGCTCCGCCATATCGGCCAAGCAGTGGATCATGGCGAAAGGGGCCCATGCCCGTTGATCGTCGCTGAGTACGGACCTGTGCTCTGCAGTAGGGATAATAAATGTTTTTTTTTTGTTATATTCAGTTTAAATTCGTTATTTCAGGGGTGCCACTTATACTTAATATTCTCAATATTCTCGATAATGTTATA